AATACATAGCCTAAATCAATTAAAGTGGGTCAACAAGAGGGCTCAGCTTGTAAAGGTGAGTATTGCCAAGCCTAAGAACTGAGTTTAATCCCTGGCACCCACATGGTGGAAAGAGAGAACTGACTCCCACTAGCTGATCCCTGATGCCAGCATGTGGTTTGTGGCACATAGGTATCTGCACGCAGACACACACAGAACGATAAGTAAGTAATAAATATAGGCATACTCAACATATTTGTGTGTGTTTATCTGAGAAAGGACTGATTTGTTACTCAGAAGCTATAAAATCAAGAAGACAATACTTTTTCTTTAAAAAAAGAAAGGGTGTTATTTGTGTATACGATAGAGTGTGTGTAAGCTCTCAGAGTCCAGACAGGTGTCAGATCCTGGAGCTGAGCTGGAGCTGCCTGACTTGCGTGCTAGGAACTGACGTTGGATTCCACAAGCAAGCAGCAAGTGCTCATAATCTCTGAGCCATCTCTCTGCTTTCCCCATTTTTTAACAAATGAAAGAATAAATAACGTAAAAGGGAAAGATAGGCTAGATATGGTAAAATACACCTGTCATCTCAAGATGGAGACAAACAAATCAAGAGCCTGAAGTTCAAGGACAGGGTTGGTGGGCTTCATGAAACTTTAAGTTAAAAATAGACAGTGGATTTGATACCAGGTTTTAAGACCAGTTCCTACCCTCCAAAATGTCTAGAACTAGGGACTGACATTACAACACGTCCATGAAATAATGTAAAGCAAGCTAGACATGGTGACACTTGCCTTCAATCCCAGAACTCAGGAGGTAGAGGTGGGCCAATATCTGTTGTAATTTCCAGGGAATCCTGGTCTACAGAGTGAGAGAGAACAAGTATAACAAAAAAGGATAGAGCAGTAGGAATAATGTTAAACTGCTCATGAAATGTGATTGGTGTAACCTCTTTAAATGTATATCATTGCCTCTTAAAAACCCAGCACCCCATCCTATTCCTGGTCTAAGAATATGGCCCTCAAAAATTATTAGGTATGTTCAAGACATGTATAGCTCTTTGACCAGTCTTGACACCTGTAGAGGCTGCTGTGAGCGGGACTTCCAGGCTGGCAATAAACAGTGTCTCAGAGCCATAATGAGCGCCTGCCTTCCTTTTTTTTTCTTGACAAGGTCTCTTGACATAGCCCTGAAGTTGTGGAACTTATGGACCAGGCTAGCCTCAAACTCACAATGACTCCAAACTTTTTGTTTGTAAACCAAATAAAAACAAAAGAATCTGGGAAAAGATAATTTGGAGTCATGGAAACAGTAGTATGTAGTATATGCCAAATTCTGAAGCAACCTTCCCACAGAGGCCATTGAATGCAGGATTCATGATGCTATACCCCTTTTGGATTTAAACTAATGAAAAAGTAAATTAAAGGGGGGATGGAAGACATGTATAAGAATATACACATAAAACTCTGTTGTGTTTTTCTCTTCTTTTTGCAAGAGTCTCACTATGTATCTTAGGCTTCTGCTTTAGTCCTCAAGGTGCTGAGGTTCAGGTAGGCAACAGGCCCTGAAGGATTTGTATCCTAACTATTAACTACAGTCTGTCAGTAGCAGTAGGATAGGTATAGAAAGGATGGTGGATTTTTTTTTAACTTGAGTGGAAAACTGTCCAGTGCGTAAAGGTACAAACTGATGTGTACAGTTCAGTATGACACTGAGTGCAAGAGACTGGGTATCCAAGTGTGCGTACTAGACCAGGGTGTAGGCTCAGTGGGTAAAGATGTTTGCTGCCAACCCTGAGTTCAGTCCAGGAGACCCACATGGTGGGGGGGAACAAAACAGAATTGACTCCCACAAGTTGTCCTCTGACCATATATAGGTTATGACATTCACATGCCACACACAGAGAAAGATCAGTTACATTTTTAAAAGGCAGGTGTGATGGCTCACATTTTAATCTTAGTAGTTAGGAAGCTAAGGCAGGGGGATAGTAAATTGCAGGCCAGCCTGGGTGTTAGCTACATTAGTGAGACGTTGTCTCAAAGAAACAAAAAGTACAGGGTCTGGCAGTGGTGGCACACTTTTTTTTTCAAGTTTGTTTATATTATATCCTGGCTGCCTTTCCTATTTCCCCTCATCACCTCTCATTTCTCCTCCTACAAATCTTCCCTTTGTCTCCCCCCATCCACTCCTCTGTTTCTGTTCAGAAAGTGGCAGGCCTCCCATGGATGTCAACAAAACATGGCATATCAAATTGCAGTATCAAGGCTGGACAAGGCAACCCAGTATAAGGAATAGGTTCCCAAAAGCCAGCCAAAGTGTTAGGGACAGCCCCTGCTCCCACTGTTAGGAGTCCCACAAGAAGACCAAACAATGGGCGGCGGAGAGTAGGGTACACACAACCATGGTTGGTATATAAAATGAAAAAAATATTATATATCTAAAACACAATGTCACATATATACAGAAGGCTATATCAGCCCCATTCAGGCTCTCTGGTTGTTGGTTCAGACTCCTGTGTGCCCAGATTAGTTGCTTCTGTGAATTTTCTTGTGGTATCCTTGACCCCTCTGTCTCATGCAGTAGGATTCTTCTCGGCCTAATGTTTGGCTGTGGGTCTCTGCATCTGTTTCCACCAGGTGCTGAATGAAGCTCCTCTGGTGACAATTTGGGATAGTTACCAATGTATGAGTATAGCAGAATATCATTAGTTGTCATTTCATTGACCTTTTTTTCCCTCAAGTTGTGTGTGTTTCTATCCTAGGTCTCTAGCACTCCAGGCAATGTGGGCTCACTCTTGTGGCATGGGTCTCAGGCTAGGCCAGTCATTGGTCGGACATTTCCACAATTTCTGCACCACAGAGGCAAGCTGATCTCTGAGTTCAAGGCCAGCCTGGTATACAAAGCAAGTTCCAGAATAGCCAGAGCTGTTACATAGAAAAACCCTGTCTTTTAAAAAAAAAAAGAAAAAAGAAAAAATTCCTGGGCTTGGTGGTATTTAATCAGGCAGAGGCCGGTGGATCTCTGTTCAAGACCAACCATAGCTGCACAGTGAGGTCCTGTCTCAAACAATCAAAAATGCAAGGGCCCTGGCAGTGATGGTGCATGACTTTAATCCCAACACTTTGGAGGCAGAAGCAGATGGAACTCTGAGTTTGAAGTCAGCCTGGTCTACAGAGCAAGTTCCAGGACAGCCAGAGCTGCACAAAGAGAACCTGTCTTGAAGAAAGGGGTGGGGGGGAGACTGAGGAGGTGACTCAGCCGTTAGGAGTCCCTGCTGCTCTTGATGGGAATGGAGTTCAGTTTCTAGTGTCCATGCAGGTTAGAACTAGCTGTGCCACAAGCTCCTGTGAACCTTACGCAGTGTTGTGGCTTCTGCGGATACCTCTACACACACAGCATATACCCTCCCACGGAGATACACACATACACATCAATTTAAAATTTTTAAGGACTGGAGAGCTAGCACAGTAGTTAAGAGTACTTGTTCCTCTTGCAGAGGACCTGGGTTCAGTTCCCAACACCCACATGGTGGCTCACAACCATCTGTATCTATATCTCCAGTTTCATGGCATCCAGTGTCTACTCTGACCTCCACAGGCATACAGGTACAACATTCATACACATAAAATAAAAATATTTCTTTTTTAAAGATTATATTGTCTGATTTAATTTATTTGAAATACAAAATAGACAAATAATACATAGTGGTAAAGATCAGAAAAATACAGATCTTTTACGGCATAACTACTGCCTTAGGAGCTTTCTGAGAGATTATACAGGTACATAGATCAATAAGAACTCAGGAAGGTATGTACTCAAGATTTGTGGCACAGGGAAGAATTTGCTTGCTTTAATATTTTTCTTTCAGTTTTGTGTGGTGTGGATTTGTTTTATTTCCTAGGGATTGAACCGAGAACATCAACTGTACTAGGCAATTCTGTCTTATTTGTTTGTTTGCTTGTTGATGCAAGTTCTAGGCTGACCTCAGACTTCTCTATAACCAAGGCTGGCCTTATACTCCTGAGCATCGTACTCTACCACAGAATGATGGAAAAAAGCTACCACTCTTTTGGTCTTGGGGGCAGCGCTTGGTTGAGGTTTTTGTTTGTTTGATTGATTGAGATGGTGTCTCACTGTGTAGTCCTTATCTGGGCTGAGCTCTTCAGTGTTGGTGGTGCACTCAGAGGCAAAGTCAGGAGACTATTTGTGAGGTAAGGCCAGCCTTGTCTCCCTGAAGGATTCAAGAAAACCAGAGCTACAAAAAAGATCCTTTGGGGGGCAGCAGGAATGTGGGAGAAGAGGGATGCTCTCTCAAAGGCCAAACCGTTTGTGATCCCACCACTGGGGAGGTTGAAGCAAGAGGATAGATCACCAGGAATTTGAGGCTGGAGATAAAGCTCAGCTCAAAGAGTGACTGACTGTCTAACGTGCACAGAGGCCTGGCTAGGTTCAATCACCTCATAAATCCCGTGTGGTAACATGGGCCTGTAATCTTAGCACCCAGGAGGTGGAGACAGGAGGATCAAAAGTTCAAGGTTGTCTTTGACTAACTAGTGAGGTTGAAGTCATTATAAGCTCCTACATGAGACCATGCCAAATAATAATGACAGTAATAGTAATAAGCGGGACTTGTTGCTGTTCACCTTTAATCTAGGCACTTAAGGTAGAGACTGTGGCCGATCTCATTGAGTTTGAGGCCAGCCTGATGTACAGAGTGAGTTCCATGCCAGCCGGGGCTACACAGAGATACTTCTCCTTTTTTTCGGGGTGTGAGGGCTAGGTAGGGGTTTCTCACATAACTCTGCCTGTTCTAGAACTCACTCTGTAGACTAGGTTGATCTAAAGCTCACAGAGATCTGCCTCCCTCTACTCCTGAGTGCTGGGATTAAAAGCATGATGGCAGAAGACTCTCAAATAGAAATAAAAGGAAAGGAACAAGGCTGTAGTTCAGTGGTGGGGTACTTGGATCACATACAAGTGATGAGAAATCCCAACTTGGAATTTTATTTTTTTCTCAATAGGTCTGTTAATGGAGTATACCGTATTGGACTCTATGCACTTAAGGACGTGCCAGCTGGGACTGAGCTCACCTATGATTACAACTTTCATTCCTTCAATGTTGAAAAACAGGTAAGAATTTGAATTCAAGAGGGAGACATTGAGAGTCGCATTGAAGAAGACTGTTCTTCACTCTTAAGACGTAGGTCCCACTGTTTGAGAACTCCAGAGACCACAGTGCTCTGCTGCTGTTCTTTACTCAGCCTTTTTTGTTTGTTTGTTTGTTTGTTTTTGAGATAGGGTCTTGCTGTATATAGCCCCTGGCAAGCCTAGAACTTGCTGTGTTGACTAGGCTGATTTGGAACCTGAAGCAGTCCTTCTCCTACCTTCCAAGTAGGATTATAGCATGTGCCAGTATTCTCAGGTTTTATAATTGCTTTGGCTTGTGGGTTGATTGGTTTGTAACGAGTCTGAGGTATCCCAGGCTGATCCCTAAACTTAATTTATAGCCTTAGGTGTTCTGATTTACCTGTAGAGTGCCAAGATTATAGGCGTGCATCATTACTTCAGTGATTCTAATCAGTCACTTCCCTCCCTTTCTACTTCTCCTCTTTCTTCCTTCTGGTTCCTTGGAGTCAGGCTTCCCTCAGATATGCTGTGTTGTAGAGTAAGCCCCAGCCAGATCTTTCTGCCTTGATCTACCAAATGCTAAAATTATAGGGCTGGGCCACTAGAATATATTTCAATTGTTTCTTTGTATATTTGCTTTTAAAGACCTTGATTCATGCATGAAACTTTAGGGATCCAAGTCCTTAGGGCACACCCTCTGTGAACTTACAAAAAAGATATATACAGGGTTAAAAAAATACTCTTTTTCCTTACAGCAACTTTGTAAATGTGGTTTTGAGAAGTGTAGAGGAATCATCGGAGGCAAAAGTCAGCGGATGAATGGACTCACTAGCCATAAAAGCAGCCAGCCTGTGAGCACACATAAAAAATATGGACGGTCGAAAGAGAAGAGGAAGTCTAAACACAAGCTGAAGAAAAGGGTGAATCATGATCTCATGGGTTTCCCTAACTGCTGCTCTGAGTCCCCTTCAAGCACTTACTAGAATAAGGTTCACCACAGGGTTTCATCTTAACATTGGCTTTACAATTTTAGAGGTGATATCTGATTTATTCTTTTTTTTCTCCTTGTGCTGTCACCCACATGTATTCTTAGAGAGGCCACCCCTCTGAAGAGCCCAGTGAAAACGTCAGTACCCCAACAAGATTGACTCCACAAGTACAGATGAAGCCAATGTCCAACAGAGAGAGGTAAAAACTGTTTTTAATATTGAGCTATTTTTCAATGACTTTTAAAAGTTTTATGTGACTTGCTTGTCAACTTAAAATATTGCTGAACTTCATGAATTTGGTTTGTTTTCTACATGAGATCTTAATTCAACTATAGGAAAGGTGTGTGTGCTTTTGTTTTTGTTTTTATACAGGGTCTCACTGTGTAGCTAAAATTGACCTAAAATTCACTCTATGGACCAGGCTTTCCTCAAACTCAGAGTTCCACCTGCCTCTGCCACCAAGTGCTGAGATTAAAGGTAGGTATATGTTTAAAAATCATATTTGTATATAGCTCAATGAAAAAATAAGTAACACATAGAAACCATACCCAGCTGTGTATAATTTAAAAAGAAATTTAAGCCAAGCATGGTGGTACGTGCCTGCAGTGATCGAGACAGGAAAGTAGGAGTTTAAGGCCATCATTGGCTATATTGAGGTCAGGGCCAATCTGGGCTGCATGAGATGCTGATTCAAAAAAAGAATTAGCAATATCCATGACTTTGTTACCAATATTCAAAGATATTTTTATTTTATTCTACAAGTATTAAAAACATCTCATACTATATTTATCACTGCATAATTATTGCTATAGTTGTTAGACCAACTACTGTATAATACTATCCTTTAAGAATTATGGGCTGGAGAGATGGCCCAAAGGTTAAGAGCACTAGATGCCCTTCCAGAGGACTTGAGTTCAACTCCCAACAACCACATGGTGGCTCACAGCCATCTATAATGCATTCTGGTGCCCTCTTCTGGCCTGCAGTGCAGGTATACATGAAGGCAGAGCACTACACATAATAAATCTTTAAAAAGAAAATTAATAGTCAGGCGGTAGTGGTGCACGCCTTTAATCCCAGCCCTTGGGAGGCAGAGTTCAAGGCCAATCTGATCTACAAGAGCTAGTTGTTCCAGGACAGGCTCCAGAGTCACAGTGAAACCTTGTCTCAAAAAACCAAGAGAGGCAAAAGGGGGGGTGTGGGGGGATTAATATAGGGAACACAGGTGGTGGTGCAGACTAAAAGTCCCAGTACTCAGGAGGCTTCGACCGGCAGAGGTCTAGTTTGGGGCCAGTCTGGTCTACAGAGCACATTCAAGGACAGCCAGGGCTACACAGAGAAACTCTGTGTCTTGGTTAGGGTTTCTACTGCTGTGAAGAAACACCATAACCACAGTAACCATTGGAAAACACAGATATTACACTATAATTCATAGCCCTAGCAAAATTACAGTTATGAAATAGCAATGAAATAATTTTATGGTTGGGGTCACAACAACCTTTAGGAACTGTATTAAAGAGCTAAAGCATTAGGAAGGTTGAGAACCGCTGGCCTAGAGTGTTGCCTATACACGGTTCTTTTTTTTTTTTTTTTTTTTGCTTTGTCTTTTTGGTTTTTGGGTGCTGGGATTAAAGGTGTGTGCCACCACTGCCCAGTCACAGTAACTCTTACAAAGGAAAGCACTTAATTGGGGCGGTGGCATACACCTGGATCCTGTTTCATATAAAAAAAGCAGGAGTGAGGGAATGAGCCATGGGAAGCCAGCCAGTGAGCAGCAATCCTCCTTGGCTCCCTCGGATGACGAACTGTAACCTGTAAGCCCAATAAGCCCCTTTCTCCCCAGGTTGTTTCTGGTCCTGGAGGTTTATCACGGTGACAGTGTCTTATTTAGGGCTTCCATTGCTGTCAATAGACAACATGACTTGTTAACTCATAGAAAGGAAAACATTTAATTGAGGTGTCAACTTACAGCTTCAGAGGTTCGGTCATTATAGTGGTGGGACATGGTGCTATGCAGGCAGACAGGGTGCTGGAGGAGTAGCTGAAAGATCTTGTAAGCAGCAGAAAGTGGTCTGTGTCATGGGAGTAACCTGAGCATAGGAGACCTCAAGGCCCACTCTCTCAATAACACTCTTCCTCCAACAAGGCCACACCTACTATAACAAAACCACACCTCCTAATAGTGCTGCTCACTTTAGGGGCCATTTTCTTTCAGACCACCACATTGTGTCTCAAAAAAAAAAAAAAAAAGAATATAGGGGACTAGAGATACAGCTCAGTGGTTAAGAGTGCTTACTGCTCTTCTAGAGGACCCAGGTTCAGTTCCTAATGCCCATATGGTGGTCGTGGACCCTAGAGTCCAATCTCCACACCACAGCTGACGTAAAAGCATGAGGATTTTATTAATTCTGTCATGACAGGGTCTTTCAGCATTAGAGGCCAGAAAGACCCTGAATAGCTGGTACAGGCTACTTTTAAAGGAAAAAGCCATAGAAGCAAAGGGGGTGTCTGGGAGTTGTTCCTTAACTATTATGATTGACTTATTCAAAAGGGTTATTACCAATAATTGACTGGAGAGCAGTTGCCAGATCAGATGAGGTAAGGGGGAAACATCTTTCCCAGGGCCTGAGTCAAAACACCAGTAACTAAGTCAACACTTAAGTGTTATCTTGCCCCTATTCAGAGAGATGGAAAGTTCCCAACATCGCAGTATGTGCATTTGTTGCTGTTAGGTCCTTAGTTCCCAGGGTGGAGGGGAGCACTACTGCTGAGAATGAGAGAGCTCAGAATTGTCCTCAGACTTGTCTTAAAGTTTTACAGTGGCTCACAACTATTTGTAATTCCAAATTCCAGTTCCAAGGGACATAATGCCCTCTTCTGACCTTCACTGGCACAGAGCATGTGTGTAGATCACAGACATGCATACAGGCAAAACAACCATACACACACACATACACACACACAAAAAAAAAGAATGTAGGAACTGGTCATGGTAGTGCATGCCTTTAATGCCAGCACTAAGGCATTAAAGGTGGAGGCAGAATCAGATGAATCTCTGACTTTTAGACCAACCCTCTCTACAAGCCAACAAAGTGACATAATAAGAATCTAGAAATAGGGATGGAGAGATGACTCAGAGATTAAGAGCTACTCTTCCAGAGATCCTGAGTTTATTTTCCTTCAACCACATAATGACTCACAACCTTTGTAATAAGATCTGGTTCCTCCTTCTGGCCTGCAGGCATACACGCAGGCAGAACACTGTACACATAATAAATAAATCTAAAAAAAATATAGAACCTAGAAATAAATAAACACGCAAATAAATAAATAAATAATAGTGTAAGTGGTCATAAGTCAGTACACTGCTAACATGTAGAAGTTACATAATTTGATCCACAGTACACAGAGAGGAAAAACATTGATTTGTATGTCTGTATCATCATTTTGATGTTTTAAACCAGGGCCTCAGTTTCCTGCTCATACATGTCACATAAAACACACGCAGATAAATAAAAATTTAAAAATAAATAAAAGGGTGGGCTGGAGAGATGGCTCAAGGGTTAAGAGCATTGGTTGTTCTTCCAGAGGTCCTGAGTTCAATTCCCAGCAGCCACGTGGTGGTTCACAGGCATTTGTAATGGGATTTGATTCTGGCCTGCAGGTATACCTGCAGATAGAGCACCATATACATAAAATAAAAACTTATTTAAAAAAAATAAATAAAAGTTAGGGTTGATCCAGGCTTGGCTACAAACCTTTAATGCCAGCACTTTGGAGGTAGAAGCAGGTGAACTACATATAAATACCATGTCTCCGAAAGAAAGAAAGTTAAGTTTGAGGCTAGAAGAGGTGGCTCAGCAGTTAAGAACCCTTGCTTATTCTGATGAGAACTATCCTTGTCAAAAGGAAAGAAAAGAGTTAGTCAGATGGCTAGATGGCTCAATGAGTTTCAATACTTTTTTTGGTTTTTCGAGACAAGGTTTCCTCTGTGTAGCTTTGGAGCCTGTCCTGGAACTTGCTCTTTTAGACCAGACTGGCCTCAAACTCACAGAGATCTGCCTGCCTCTGCCTCCCGCATGCGGGGATTAAAGGCGTGCACCACCTCCATCCTGCTGATTTCTGGTTTTTTTTTTTTTTCTCCTGAGCCATTTCAACAGCCCTGACTGTTATGATCTGTTATCCTGCTATGTCACCTGGGTACCATGTCCCTTTAAGGGACAAGCCCCACCTACTCCCAACTCCCCTTCTGCAGAGGCAAGCAGGCCTCCTCTAGCCTGAGCTCTCTCTCCTGAAGAGGTAACTTCTGCTATCTCTCCCTCTCTCTCTTCTTCCCCCTTCCCTTGTCCCTCCATAACCCACCAAATAAACCCTATACACAAACTCTCTTTGCATGGCATATCTGTCTGTCTCTCACCCACTGCAGTTTCTCATCCACCAAGGCCTCAGGGGACTCCCTAAAACCTCTGGTCACCACCACCCCTCATGGGACACCTGCCCATCGTGAGACCAGTCCCCCACCACTATATCTTTGAAAAAGAATAACACTGACTTTGAACATTTTTGTTTTGTTTTTGAGACAGGGTCATTCTGCCAGTTTTAGCTGTCCTGGAACTTGCTTTGTAGAACACGCTGGCCTCAAACTCATAAGAGATCTGCCTGCCATTGCTTGACTGACTTTGAATTTTTTTTTCTGATAAATAACTATTCCCTAAATTATTTTCTTCTTTTTCTTTTTTGTACACTGTGAACATGTGTCTCTGCTAAGGCACTTTCTGATTGATTTAATAAATACCTCAATGGCCAATAGCTAGGCAGGAGAAGATAGGCGAGACTTCTGGGGAGAGAGAAGAACTCTGGGAAGAAGAGAAGTGGGATTCACCAGTGAGACCTGGAACAAGTCTGATGTACACAATGGAGGTGAAGAAATGAGCCACATGGCAGACTATTAATTACTATAAATGGGTTAATAAGTTATAAGAGAACAAGCCTAAGTGTTCATAATTAATAAGATGTTTCTGTGTCATGAAAGGGAGCACAGAGAAAGTCCAACTACAGAACTTTTTTTCTTTTTTCCAAGACCGGTTCCTCAGTGGAACAGTGGGACTCACTCTGTAGACCAGGCTGGTCTATAAATTCAGGTCATCAGGAAAGTGTTCAAGGTTGGGCGGAGGTGGCACAAGCCTTTAGTCCCTGCACTGTGAGGCAGAGGCAAGCGGATCTCTGAGTTTGAGGCCAGCCTGGTCTAAAAGAGCTAGTTCCAGGACAGGCTCCAAAGCTACACAGAGGAAACCTTGTCTCGAAAAACCAAATAAAAGTATTGAAACTCATTGAGCCATCTAGCCATCTGACTAACTCTTTTCTTTCCTTTTGACAAGGATAGTTCTTATAAGAATAAGCAAGGGTTCTTAATTGCTGAGCCACCTCTTCTAGCCTCAAACTTAGCTTTCTTTCTTTCAAATCAGGTGCACTGTGTCTTATTTGAATAATTAAACAAAACCACCCAATTTGTATAAATAGCTGGATATTCTGGTATACTTCTGTATTCTTAGGACTTGGAAGCCTGAAACTAGAAGGTTACACGATTTGAGTTCAGCCTAGACTATAATAGTAAATTCAGGACCGTAAACAAAACAAAGTTTGTATAACATTCTATAAACCTCTGCTTTCTGATTTATTTATTTTATACCAAATGTTTGAAGATAATACAGGAAAGTGGTATTTAGTTGTTTTGCAAGTCATACTCTCTTGCCCAAGTAGGCTTTTTTTTCTTTAAGATTTATTTATTATATATACAGTGTTCTGCATGCCTGTATGCCAGAAGAGGGCACCAGATCTCATTATAGGTACCTAGAAGGCATCATGTGGTTGCTGGGAATTGAACTCATGACCTCTGGAAGAACAGCAGTGCTCTTAACCTCTGAGCCAGCTCTGCAGCCCCCAAGTAGGCTTTCAAGTCTGAGTCCCCTAAGTGCTCAGATAACCAATGTGAAGTGCCTGCACCCAGTTCTGTAATCGTCTTTAAAAACTCCAAACTCAACCAGGCGATGATGGCGCACACCTTTAATCCAGGTTTTAGGAGTTTGAGGCCAGCCTGGTCTACAGAGCTAGTTCCATGACAGCAAGGACTGTGTACAGGAACCCTGTCTCGAAAAAAATTAAAAACCAAAAAGCTCCAAACCCCTAGTCACTGTTCCTATATCACCTACCCTATCCCTAGTCACCTACCTTATATCACTTAACAGCAATGGTGAGTGAACATGTAATAAAGTCTTACTGGATTATTAAGGAACACCCCTCTCTTTTCTTGCAGAAACTTTATATTAAAGCATCATGTGTTCTTGGTCCGAAACTGGGAAAAGATTCATCAGAAACAAGAAGAAGTAAAGCACAACCGTGACATCCACTCAACATCATTGTACACCCGTTGGAATGGCATCTGCAGAGATGATGGGAATATTAAATCTGGTAAGGCATGGGAAGACTTATTCTTTTGTTGTTTGGTTTTTTTGAGGCAGGGTCTCTCTGTGTAGCCCTGGCTGTTCTGGAACTCTTAGTAGCCAAGCTGACCTCAAACTCACAGAGATTACCTGCCTCTGTCTTCCAAGTGCTGGTACCATCTTTCTGGGAAGACTTATTCTTAATTCTATAAGATTATTCAAAAATGATCATTTTAATTATTTTTAAAAAGTAATTAAATCAGGATTGGAGAGATGGCTCATCTTTTGGGAGCACTGACTGACTTTTCTGAGGACCCAGGTTCACTTCTCCAGTTCTAGGAGATCCAATGCCCTCCTCTGGTCTCCATGAACACTTCATGCACAGGGTATATATGCATGCAGGCAAAATACACATTAAATAAAAAAAGAAATTTAATTTAGAGCTGTTTATGGTGGTGCACACCTGTAATTCTGGCACTCGGACAACAGGAGCAAGGAGTTTGAGATCAGCCTAATCAAAATAGTGTGTTCCAGGCCAGCTAAGACTGTTTTAATATCCTATTTGGAGTGGGTAAATTACCCAGTTTTTTTTTTATTGAAGGGTATGTGTATATAAATGATGTATGTGAAGACTAGAGTGCTATTTCATAGAATTAGTTTTCTCTTTCTAAATTTACATGGCTTCCAGGGATTGAAGTCAGATCACCAGGCTTGCATGGGCCAGGCACCTTTACCTTCCCCTGTCTCAGTTACTTTTACACAGTGATGGCAAATGCATTATGGAGAGAAAAAAATCATAACCATAAATTCAAGAACTTTGCTCACATACTTACATAAGAACTATACATACAAAACATCCGGTTTCCTTTTTCCAGTCTTTTTGAGTGAATGTTAGAAATAGCCTCATTATTTGAGCTAGTGTCCAGTCTGGAACAGATGAGATGCAGCCTTGTCTGTTCATCCTTTTGTTTCATTTAGTTTGATTTTGAGACTTCATCTCACTGTGTATCTCTGACTATCCTAGAACTTACTTTGTAGACCAGGCTTGCCTCTGACTCACAGAGATCCTCCTGCTCCTGTGACAGCCCAGTCCCGAAGCTGTTCAGTCTCACAGAAACACACAGAGGTCTGCATTAATTATAAACTGGTTGGCTTATATTAGCTCAGGTTTCTTATTAGTTAACTCTTACATCCTACATTAACCCATAATTCTTGTCTGTGTCAGCCACGTGGCTTGGTACCTTTTATCACTGAAGCATTCTCATCTTGCTTCTTCTGTGTCTGGGTGAGGACTGATGACTGAGCCTTTCCTCTTCCCAGAATTCTCCTATTCTCGTGGCCCCGCCTCTACTTCCTGCCTGGCTACTTGGCCAATCAGCATTTTATTAAACCAATACAAGTGACAAATCTTTACAGGGTACAAGACATGTTTGTCCCACAACATGCTTCTGCCTTCCAAGTGCTAGTATTAAAATCTCACTATAACACCTGACCCATGAAATGTCCAGTGTAAGATGTGGTTGTGTATGCCAGGTCTTGGGATGTGAAAGCATGAAGATCCGGGGTTCAAGGCCAGCCTCAAGCCATACAGTGGCTACACAAGAGCCTGTCTTTTTTTTTTTTTTTCTCACTTTTTTTGGCTTTTTTCGAGGCAGGGTTTCTCTGAAGCTTTGGAGCCTATCCTGGAACTAGCTCTTGGAGACCAGGCTGGCCTCGAACTCACAGAGGTCCGCCTGCCTCTACCTCCTGAGTGCTGGAATTAAAGGCATGTGCCACCACCACCCGGCCAAACAAGAGCCTGTCTTATTGAAAGTTAGGAAGAAAAATAGTAAAAAGATGATGCTCAGAACCAGCAAAATGGTTCAGCAGATAAGACTCCTGCTGCCAGACCCAACAACCTGAGTTTCCCTGGGACCCACATAGTAGAAGGAGAGAAGAGACTTGTGCAACTGTCCTCTTGTTTTCACAAGTGTTCTGTGACACACACACATATTCACAAAGGGGGGCGCAGACATGGTGGCACTACCTGTAGCCCCATTTGTGAGGTAGAGGCAGAAGGATCGAGTATTTGAAATCACCATTACAGGCCAGCCTGAGCTAGCTGCATGAGTCATTACATTGTCTCAAAAAGAAAGAGCCAGGCGTGTGACTTAATGAATACCTATAATCATCACTGAGAGAGTGAGGCAGGCAGATCACCATCAGTTTGAAGCCAGCCTGGGCCACAGAGGCCTTGTTTCAAATTAATTAAGTAACTTCTTTAAAGGGTTTTTGTTTCTTGTTTTGGACTTAGGAGCCAGGGTCTCATGTAGCTCACACTAGCCTTAAACTTGCTATATACCTGAGAATGACCTTGAATACCCATTCCTCCTTTCTTTGTCTTCATAGTGCTAGGATTATGACTTTTGATCAATTTTCTTTGTCTTAGAAAGAGTGGCAGGGCATGAATGTGGAGGACAGAAGACACCTTGTGGAGGTCCATTCTCCTTCCACCTTGTAGGTCCTGGGGCTCAAACTCAGGGCATTAGACTTTTCACCAAGCTTCTCCTCCCACTTAGTAATCTCACCAACCCAGAGAAAAATGGTTTTTTTCAGATTTTTAAATTTTTTCAGCAATTTGGTTGTTAAAATCTCTTTGAAGTTACAAGCCAAACAGTTGAAATCTTATAGCCATGTACTGATTAGACACATCTATCCATAAACTGGTAACAGTGGCCCAGATCTGGGCTGGGTTTTGTCAGATTCTTGACTTTTTACTCAAGGGATTAAAATAAAAACTCACTTGGATTTTGAAAAGTAGCAGACTAACGTTTTCTTTTTTTTTTTCAATAATTTATTTTAACTTTATTTTATGTGCACTGGTGTAGAGGTGTCAGCTTCCAGAGAGCTGAAGCTACAAGCAGTTGTGAACTGCCATGTGGGTGCTGGGAATTGAACCCGGGTCCTCCGGAAGAGCAGCCAGTGCTCTTAACCATTGAGCCATCTCTCCAGCCCCAGACTAACGTTTTTGAAAGAAGATGATAAAACAGGTTGGATTCCTGTCAGGGGCAACCTCAGGGCACGAGGGAAAGTGCTTGACTGTGGCCTCCTTTCGGGGTCAGGAGTCTCAGGAGTTTGATTATTGGGGTTGTTCTATGAAGACATTCTCTATTGTAACTGACACAACAAATTATATAACCATCTTTCTGTTATACTCATTTTTATGTATCTCATGTTTAATCCTGTGTACCTCCAATTGTGTATAGGCATAGCATGGTGCATAGGGACCCTTCCCTAACAGTTCACTTTAAGTGTACATTTTGTCTTACTTTGCATGGATTCAAAACCAGTTTAGACTAGTTCAACCAACTTTACTTCATAAGTGGAGTACAGTTGAAAAAACTCTTAAGTTTGATGCTTTGTTTGGTTTGGTTTAGTTTGAGTTTTTCAAGACAAGGTTTCTTTGTGCAGACTTGGCTGTCTTGAAACTAGCTCTGTAGACCAGGCTGGCCTTAAACTCACAGAAATCCACCTGCCTCTGTCTTCTGAGTGCTGGGATTAAAGGCATGCACCACCACCCGGCCAAATTTAAGGTTTTTTTGTTTTTGTTTTTTGTTTGTTTGTTTTTAAGGGAAGGGAAAACTTACTCCATTGTTCAAAGTAAGGTGTCTTTGCAGTTCCATGCAGGAAGGAATTTGTCCCAGTTTGGGTTTTTATTGCTTTGAAGAGACATCATGACAACACCTATATAGAGAAACATTAAATTGAGGAGCTGGTTACATTTTCAGAGGTTCCGTCCATTATCCCTGAACATTGTGACAAGCAGGTAGATGTGATTCTGGAGGAGTAGCAGAATTCTACATTTTGCAGGCAATAGGAAGTCAACTGACTTACTGGGTTAGGTATCCTGAGCAAAAGAAACCTCAAAGTCCACTCCTGTAATGGCACAATTCCTCCAACAAGGCCATACTCCCTTTGGGGGCTATTTTCTCTTCTTTCTTTCCTTCCTTCCTTCCTTCCCCCCCGTCCCCCCTTCCGCCCGGCTCCCAAAGTTTCTCTGTAGCTTTGGAGCCTGTCCTGGAATTAGCTCTTGTACACCAGGCTGACATCCAGCCTGCCTCCTGAACTCCTCCTGCCTATGCCTCCCTAGTGCTGGGATTAAAAGCGTAAAGACGTGCACTACCACCACCCGGCTTTCTTTTTTTTTTTTTTTTTTTTTAATTAACTTTATTGAGCTATGTCCCGCCCAATCTGCGAAACCCACTCTCCAATACGGGTGCGTGCTTCCCGAACCGAACCACAAGACTGGATCAATATCCTAGGAGTTGAACAGACACACACAGAGAGACCAGGATCATTTGCCCAAAGGGTAAATGTCAACTTTATTAAGCACATGTCGGGTATATATACTTGGGGGCAGAATGACGAGAGCCTCCTCCCATCCTGGACAGGGATCATGGTGTTGGCCGCCTGGCGCCAGAGCGGCTTGAGAACTGAGGGAAGGGGGTGCCAGTAGCTGTGGTGTCAGACATTTTAGGCACCGCGGTGGGAACCTTTGCTTGCAGGTGGAATTACCATATCAAAAGAGGACAAAGCTCTCTCTAAACTAATCCCCCAAGCCTGTGCAGCCAGCAGAGAAGGCAGGAAGCTAGGAGAAAAACAGCCCTGCATAGAGCCTCCAAGAAAGGGGAAAAAGCCCGGGTACCAACAGAGCTATACATTTTTCTCTGTTCCTCTCCCTTCCTTGCCCCGCCCCTTCAACCCTCTCCCATGAATCCCATGTTCACAATTTACTCAAGATTAGATCCATGTATGTCTCTCTTAGGGTCCTCTTTGTTGTCTAGGTTCTCTGGGATTGTGAATTATAGGTTGGTTTTCTTTGCATTATGTCTAAAAGCCACTTATGAGTGAGTACATATAATATTTGTCTTTCTGGGTCTGGTTTACCTCACTCAATATGTTTTCTTGATCCATTCATTCGTCTGCAAATTCAAGATGTCATTATTTTTTGCTGTGTAGTACTTCTGTGTGTAAATGTACCACATTTTCCTTATCCATTCTTCGATCGTGGGGCATTTAGATTGTTTCCAGGTTTTGGCTCTGACAAACAAAGCTGCTATGAACATAGTTGAGCACATGTCCTTGTGGCACAATTGAGCATCCCTTGGGTATATGCCCAAAAGTGGTATTGCTGGGTCTTGAGGAAGGTTAGTTCCTAACTTTCTGAGATATTGCCACACTGACATCCAAAGGGGTTGTACCAGCTTGCCAAATTGCCATAGTGATATCCAAAGCGGCTGTACCAGTTTACATTCCCACCAGCAATGCAGAAGTGTTCCCTTTTCCCCACATCCTATACAACATAAGTTGTCATTAGTGATTTTGATCTTGGCCATTTGCATTTCTCTGATGACTAAGGATGTTGAACATTTCCTTAAGTGTTTTTCAACCATTTTAGATTCCTCTGTTGAGAGTTCTCTGTTTAGATCTACGCTCCATTTTTTTAATTTATTTATTTATTATGTATACAATATTCTGTGTGTATGACTGCAGGCCAGAAGAGGGCACCAGATCTCATTACAGATGGTTGTGAGCCACCATGTGGTTGCTGGGAATTGAACTCAGGACCTTGGGAAGAACAGGCAATGCTCTTAACCACTGAGCCATGTCTCCAGCCCCTGATTTATTTTTCTTAAGACAAGGTTTTACTCTCTAGCCCAGGCTGACTGGAACTCACTATATACCCCAGGCTTACTTTGAACTCATGATAAGCCCACCACAGCCTCCCAAGTGCTGGGAAAAGATGTTCTGAGCCAACATTCCCGGCTGCTTTGTTTCTAGAGACCAGTCTCAGGCTGTGGCCCATTCTGGCCTTGAACCCCGGAAGACGTGCTAAACTGACCTTAAGTACAGGAAGTGGTGCTAAGCTGGCTTTGAACTGGGACTCCTGGGCCATCTCTCCAGTCCTATACTCCATTTTTTTATTGGACTATTTATTCTTCTAATGACCAGTTTCTTGAGTTCTTTGTATATTTTGAGGATCAGCCCTGTGTCCAAAGTGGGGTCAGTGAAGATTTTCTCCCATTCTATAGCCTACCATTTTGTCTTGTTGACCATGTCCTTTGCTTTACAGAAGCTTCTCAGTTTCAGGAGGTCCCATTTATTAATTGTTTCTCTCAGTGTCTGTGCTGCTGGGGTTATATTTAGGAAGTGGTTCCCTGTGCCAATGCGTTCAAGTGTACTTCCCACTTTCTCTTCTATGAGGTTCAGTGTGGCTGACTTATGTTGAGGTCTTTGATCCATTTGGACTTGAGTTTTGTGCATAGTGATAGATATCGGTCTATTTTCATTCTTCTACATGTTGATATCCAGTTATGCCAGCACCACTTGTTAAATATGCTTTTTTTTCCATTTTATATTTTTTGTTTCTTTGTCAAAAATCAGGTGTACATAGCTGTGTGCATTAATAGTGCCACTCCCTTTGGGGGCCATTTTCATTTCAGAGTACCAAAGGGTCCTATCTTACAAGTTACCTGGTGAATTATTCAGATAGTGGTGTGTGAGTATGATCAATGTCTAATGCTGCCACTTATTAAAAGAGAAGTGTGTGCCTAAACAAAAAGGAGTCCCAAATTGCTAACCACTTCCCTATGATTGCCTCCTTCCAACCTAAATACATGAAAATAAAAAACAAGCCAGGCGGTAGTGATGCACGCCTTTAATCCCAGCACTCGGGAGGAAGAAGCAGGTGGATCTCTGTGAGTTCGAGGCCAGCCTGGTCTACAAGAGCTATTTCCAGGACAGGCTCCAAAGCTACAGAGAAACCCTGTCTCAAAAACACAAAACAAAGCAAAACAAAACAAAAAAAAAAAACCAACATTATTTGAGCCAGGTGTGATAACACATTCTATAATCCCAGTATTTAGGATGCAGAAGCAGAGGAACTGCATTTTTAAGGCTGGCCTGATGCATATGACCCAGTCAGAGCAATGTAGTGCTAGGCACACTGGCTGTTGCTAAATGCACACACGTGCGTGCACTCCAGGTTGCCATCCTCCTCCTCACATTGACTCTGACGAGAGAGGACCTGAGCTGGAAATAGAAGACCACTTCCTGCAGCTTAGGCTCAGCTCACTCACACGTTCATTTAAAGACTTTTGTATATTTAAGTGTGTAAGTCTAGAGGAAGACATCATATACCATGACACTGGAGTTAGAGAAGGTTGTGTGAAGCTAAGAATTAGACTCAAGTCCTCAACAAGAGCAATACAAACTCTTAGCTGCTGAGAGATTTAAAGGTGGGAGGTGTAAGCAGCGTGTTGATATAGGGAGGAGAGAAGAAAATAGAAAGATGGAGGCTGGTTAGACTCATTTTGAAGTATACACTTGCAGCCACTGCACTGTGTAGCATTTACCTTGAACTCACAGAGATCCACCTGTCTCTGCCTCCCAAGTGCTGGGATTAAAGGCGTGCACCACCACTGCCTGGCTTGTTTTCTCGTTTTTTATGTAGGGGAAGAGAAGCAACTACCTAGCCACTAATTCTTCTTAATATCCTAAAGATATTAGGATAATAGATAGATTAAAAAATAATAGAAAGAACTAGTCAGCTGGAAAAGAAAAACATGCATCAGATTCTTCATTTCTTGAACTGCTTTGTATCTTCTCTTTGCAGATGTCTTCATGACCCAGTTCTCTGCCCTGCAGACAGCTAGGTCTGTTCGAACAAGACGCTTGGCAGCCGCAGAGGAAAACCTGGAAGTGGCTCGGGCAGCACGCCTAGCACAGATCTTCAAAGAGATCTGTGATGGTATCATCTCTTACAAAGGTATGCTTGTCACTGACCCTCTCCTGAGAAGCCCTAGATCTCATGAACCAACAACATTGTAGCATTATGAATTTAAGAGATGAATTTGTTCCTGTTGTTGTTATTAGATAAGAGATTTTAGTTTTCTTTTTCATGAGTATGGGAGCCTGCACTTACCTGTGCCCTACATGCATGTTCGTTGTCAGCAGAGGACAGAAAAGGACATTGGATCTTCTGGAACTGGATTTACAGATAATTGTGAGCTGCCATGTGGGTGCTGGAATCCTCGCCAAAGCAGCCAGGGCTCTGCATCCTTACATTTTTAAAAGACTTATGTGTTGGAGGGAGTCAAGTTTGTCCATGTGCATGCAGTGCTTGTGGAGTTCAGAAGGTGCCAGATCTCCTGGAG